CTGCATCCTGAAATTGACTAAGCATCTCACCTCTCCTACAACGCCTCAGTCTGCTGTCGCCTGGAGGTTGGGGGAGAGGATTGTTTGCCCGCTTAACAAACCACAACCACAAACAGAAGAGCGCGCATGTGTGTTTAAAGTCCTTTAAGGCTGCGGATTGTCTTTCCCTGGGGCTGCAGTTCGGGCTACTCCCGATCGCCCTGCATCCTGAAATTGACTAAGCATCTCACCTCTCCTACAACGCCTCAGTCTGCTGTCGCCTGGAGGTTGGGGGAGAGGATTGTTTGCCCGCTTAACAAACCACAACCACAAACAGAAGAGCGCGCATGTGTGTTTAAAGTCCTTTAAGGCTGCGGATTGTCTTTCCCTGGGGCTGCAGTTCGGGCTACTCCCGATCGCCCTTTACAAAGGCGTTCACACGCTGGAGACAGACACCTTTGTCAATTTGTGTTTGGGTCAGGGATCTGTTTCTCTGGATGGGTGGTGCATCGATGCTCTGTGGGCGCGTGTATCTATAATCTATATTACATACACTACGGCTAGTAACTGTTCATTTCCTCCAGAAAGAGGTAGGATACACAGCAAATAAGCCCTGCTCCTCAGTCTGGGACTCATTTCGGTGTGTGTCTGCCTAAATTCATTCAAGCTTGGCTTGGCAATAAGCTTGCTCAATAGGGTGACAATGGAGCCCCAGTGTGACCTGAACAAAGAATTTGAAAGTAGTTAAATTGCAGGACACGTCCACTGCCTGGGTGCTTGAATTTTTTTTAAGGGAGAAAAGGGAAGGAGAGAGACTTTTCTTTGGGCTGGTGAGAAAATGCTCAGGGTAAAAGTTGGTTTGGCGTCTTCATTTCAGCGGCAATGGAGCAGAGCTAATCCAATAGGAAACGCGGGGAATTTTTAATGAAAAGACCGCCAGGGCTACAACAAAGTTAAGCTCTTGTGAATTAATTATTAGGGCAAATAAACTTTGAAGGGGGGAGGTTTGTAGAATGAAAGGGTCCGATTTATTATTATTTTAATGTTTAATGACAATGCGATGCGATTTTGACCCAGACTTGAGCAAATTTCTGGCTCTTCCAGGGAAGATGTACGGTTAAATAATCTAACATCTGATTGAAAATAAAATACTGTAAAATTCAGAGAGCTTTGATTTCTATTGGCCATGTCATTTGTATAATTTCTTTGAGATGCAAAAATCTAAAGGCAATCAGGAATTACGTTGTTCGAGAGAGCCTGTTTATTTATTACGACACCATACACTATTGCTTTGTTTGAGGTCTCTACTGGATTTAAAATACTTGAATCAATGCTAAGAAAGAGCTAGGGAGCAACGCTAATAGGGAATGGGTAACTGGGCTGGAAAGATTTTAAAATAAAAATCAAATCAAGCTGCAAGGCAAGAAATCTAGGGAAACAAGGCAAGAAAATCCAGAGAGGGAAAGGTTTGTTAAGGATGGCTTTTTTTTTCTTGAAAAAGGGTTACATGACAAAATTAAAAGAGGAAGGAAATGAAAGAAAGAGAAACAGAAGAGAAGAAAAGGAAAAGAGGAGCGGAGAAATGAAAATGAAGAGGGAACCCGCGAAGGAGAAATTAAAGCTCGTTTTTGTATGCCCCAAGAATAAAAAGCTGGTGGAAGCCTAGACGCGTCTAATTATACGTGTCCACCAGTGCATGGCAGGGAAGTGAACTGCAATGGGTTAACTTGATTGCTCATGAACTTGGCCTGTCTGTCCGTCTGGATTTTGATGGATGGGCAGATCCCGCTGACAAGTTCAGCCGGAGGGACCTCCCCTGCTGCTCCAGCGGGCTGGAAAGCCGGGAAAGCGGCTCAGAGCCGCAGCCCGGCGCCCTGACACCCAGCAGACACTTTTGCTCTCCGCACGCTGCAGAATGGGAAAGCGGCGTCCCCTGCTTCCTCCCCCCCACCCCAAAGTTCTCAATTCCTGCTCTTTATGCAGCCTTGAAAGACCCGC